GCTGGTTGCTTCAGCTACTCTACGTTCAAGAGCAAGTTCAGAGTCTCTTCTGACATTTGATGCTGTCATTTCTCTCTTGTCTATTTTGTTGATGACCTTTTACTTTCTTCATGTATGATGAAGATTAGTATCTGATTAATCATTAGTATCTAATCCATTAAAAATATTATTTTGTTGTCCCCCTCCCCCCAGCACTATTCCACCCCAAGTGCTGAAGGTCACTCTTCAAATGAACTTGAGAGAAGGCCAATGGGAGTGGTCAGTAGACTGGGGTGGTGCCATGAGGGCACCGAGAGCCCTGGGACAAGAGCAAGATGCCAGGCCTAAGTAGCCTCTCCAGTGGACAAGGAGAGCGAATCGGGGACTGTCAGAGGAAGGAAGCCCCTTGAAGTGCCAACCTGTATCAGGACCTTTGGAATGCCCTTGCACAGTCTCCTCTGTACCCCTCCCAGCTCTGCTAACACCTACTCACCCTCCTCGGCTCTTCCTCAGCTGTCAGTGGTTGGTGCTCCCCAAGATTTGGGGTCTTGTCTCTGTGCCCACTCTCCTGCCCAGGCAGACCATGGTTGTGGTTGTTAATTACCCTTGAGTCGGCCTCAGTCCCTCGTCCAGATGACACCTAACACTGACCGAATTCAAGAATTCCAGAACACTTCATTGTGCTCCTACAAACACTTGTTCATGGACCGAAAGGCAGTCATTGGGACTGAACAATGGGAGGATGCAGGGTCTGGAATCAGGAGAGGTGGGAGGGTTGTATCCCTTCCCCATGTGACTCAACCTGTGTGCTGAGCCAATCATCCAAGAAACTGGACTGCACGAACCCGGGTTGGGGATCAGAGGAAGGGTCCTTAACAGCCTGCCACATGCAGATGGCTCAACCTCGCGGGCCTTCGAGCACTTACCGATGAATGTCAGGCAGCTGTTGGGATGAATTACACTATTCAGAAAACAAAATCTGCACAACAGGGCCGATAAACATCACAATCAATGCAGAGAACATTGATGTCAAGAATCTCACTTTGCCTGCCTACATCGACAATTAATGCTCCAGGAAGCAGCAGACGGTCACATCAGCACTGCAGCAGAGCAGTCGCTACCAAAGGTGCCTTGAAGGTGCTAAAAAGCCAAGACTTTGCTTAGAGAACTAAAGGGCGCTCAATCCATTTCAATAGCTTCCTTGGCAGGAACAAGCTGAGCAACAAGTAAGGAAGGCTGGGGAACTGAGGCCTTTGAATCGTGGCACTGGAACGGCTGTTAAATACACCCGGACTGCCGGACAAACAGAGACATCTGTTAGAAGAAGTTCAGCCAGAACCCTCCTCGGGAGGGAGAGTGGTAATACTCTATCTCAGACTTTGGACGTGTTATCAGGAGGGACCACGGCCGGTGAAGGCCAGCAGGCTGGGTAAAGGAGCAGAGAAAGAGAAAGAACCTTCTGTGTGCAGAGAGACAGCAGTGGCCACCATGGGCGGAACACAGGACAGACTGTGAGGTGGGCACAGGGCCGGACAGTATTGCCTTCTGTCGTACATGGGGTCCCGGGATTCCCTGACGCCTCACCTCGAGGAGAACATGAGGGAGAGGGGGCTTTGAGTGCAGGCCTGCCTCGGCTGCACTATACAACCTTAGGAGATCCCAGCCCCTCCCTGGGGCTCCGGATGTGCTTCCTCAAAATCCCACAAGTGTCCCACTAGGCCCTGCCTTCTCAGCAGATGACACTGCCCGAGAGCTTGACCAATGAAACAAGACAGTTTGTTGAACTCCCAAGGTGGGTTTCATGGTCAGCCCTCCGAGCTGTGTCAGACTACCCAGTAGCAAGGTAAGCATAGGCTTGCTTGTGCTGATCCATCTGTAGTGAACGATTTCTTGTTCTCTCACCCCCAAGAGACTCTCCTGGGCTGGCATCTGTCCCTGCGGCAACCCCACAGCATCTTCCTTCAGAACCAAAGCATCTTTTCCAACTTACACTCCCTGACAGGCAGGGAGTACCTGTGTGTGAAACTGTTAGCTGCAGATGAATGAATAATCACAAGCAAGCCCATGCTTACCTTGCTTCCTGAGTCATCCGGCCCGACCTGGAGGCTATGGCCAGAGCAAGTGGGGTTGGATCCCTGCCTCCCTATCCGGGCTCCTCCAGCCCAGCCAGTGGAAAGAGATGGCAGGACTGCACTGGTGAGGCAGCAGGCTGGGGGTGACGGGAGCTGGAGGCCTTGGCTCCCCAGCCTGAGTCAGCGGGCAGGCAGGCGGGGCTGGCTCAGTCCTCACAAGCTTGGGGAGGAGGAGTGCAGGAATGTGGCTCCCGCCCAGGCCGCCCAGGCCCAGCTCTGGCCCTGCCCACTGCATCCCAGCTCCTGCTGCCATAGGGCCCTCGCCCAGAATCCTGGAGGAGCTGGAAGATGCCTGGGGTTTGGCAGGGTAGGTTCAGCCAGCGGCCTTCATAGGACCAGCCCAGGCCACAGTGACGACCCCGGAGAACCTCCCAGGCAGGCGGCTGGGTAATGCCGGGTGGCCCCAGGTCTATGCAGTGAGGGCGGTGCTCTTGGGTCCTCACGGCCGCTTCCCCCCAGCACTGGGCTGCACCCCCAGATCGCCAGGGGCATCCCCCCGGGTGTGGGGTTTGTGACTAGCTCCGCTTGCCCTCAGAAACACTCCTCCTCCAGGTGGCTTGCCCCTCAAAGCTCTTCTACAAACCCTCAGCTGAGCTGGGCTTCTGACTTAGGGCGCAGGAGGCGGTGGCCCTGTGGCTCAGGCACCCTCGTTAGATACCTCTTTTTTTTTTAAATCATTTTATTAGGGGCTCATACAACTCTTATCACAATCCATACATACATCAGTCGTGTAAAGCACATTTAGACAGTGAGACAGTGCTCCTAGGACTTCGAAGGATCCCTGGTGACGTAGTGGTCACAAGTTGGGCTTCGAATTGCAAGGTTAGCAGTTCGAAACCACCAGCCGCCCCTTGGGAGAAAGACAGGGCTTTTTACTCCCCAAAACAGTTAGTCTCAGAAACCCACAGGGGCAGTTTCTCCCCTGTCCTATATATAGGCAGGGTCACTATGAGTCAGCATCAAATTGATGGCAGTGAGGCTTTTGGGGAACTTGGTGGTGTGAGCAGATGACAACACACATGTAGATGGGCCGTGTGCGTGTGCTTGACACACATGGCTGGAAGGACAACGGTCTGGGCACGGGGGTGGCCTGGGTGCCTGCAGTGCTGCATCTGCTGCAGGTGGTGTGCCCGAGACCGTGGGGAGGGGAGGCAAGGGATGTTGGTGTGGCCGGGTGAGGGGACGAAGCAGGCAGTCCTGGGTGGGGGCCAACCCTGGCACAGTAGTTTACAACCCTCTCATGTCCCCGAGGGGACAGGAGGCTGCCACCACCCCTTTCCGGCAATCAGCCCCACCTGCCCGCCCCTGATGCTCCTGTTGTTAGATGAGGCAAGAAGAGGGGCCGGGGGAGCCCTGCCCCCACCCTCAGGTCCTGCTAACTGCCCAGGGCAGAGAGAGAGGCCTTGTTCCCCAACCCCCTGGAGCAAAGTGAGGGCGAGAACTGGAGGCAGCTGGGTCCAGCTCGAGCCAGAGCATCTGCCTGGCATGTGACCGAGGCCAGCGGGCAGGTCCTGCTACCACCGGGATGCATCCCCCACCGGCCTAGCTCAATGCCCATGTCCCCAACTCCCCAATGCACACAAAGACAGACACCAGAGCAAGGGCCATGACATCTTACCACACCTACACGCACGCATGGACACACCACACACACACACACACCAGCCCTGCAGACCTCAGGACCACCGATAGAGCAGACCCATTAGAGACCCAGTTTCTAATTCCCTTCTTGGGCCAAGGCCTTCCCAAGTATTCAGTCAGCCTGACTCAGCGTCTGAGGACGGGAGGGCCCTGCTGAAGGCAGGCAATAAGAACATTTTCCAGGCCAGGAAGCACTAATGCAGGGTTTGGGGGGCTTTCCAGCCCTGTGGTTAGGAAGCGCAGTCCCGAGATGCCTGCCCAGGCTGACCTCAGGGGGGACTGACCCCTGATGTCCAAGGCCGGAAATAGAAGGCCCCATGGAGGTCAAAGCGGAGAAGCCCTTCAAAGCAGGAAGTTGGTTCCCTGTATGGGCTGGAAAAATAAAGGCAGAAGGGCGGGGACAATTTCCCAGAAAGTCCCAAATCTGACCTAATTTTGACCCAGGGCCAGGGACACCCATTGCAGAAGGTCTTGGAGAATACTTTGCCCTGTATGTGGAGTCCTGCCTGCCCTGCCCCTCCTCCCTCCCCCTCAAGGCCCTGTGCCCCAGGGTCTAGCCAAAGCCTTCTCTGCCCTGACCGGTGAAGCCTCCCACCACCAAGTCCGCCTCGGCCTTGGACGAGAACCACAGTGTTCACAATGACTCTTCTTTCCCCGACGACGACGCAGGATCTCCTGTTTATCTAGACTGGGGCACATCCAGGGAGCCCTGGTGGGGCAGTGGTTATGCCTTGGGCTGCAACTCGCACGGTCAGCAGTTCGAGACCACCACCAGCTGCCCCTCAGGAGAAAGCCTGGGCTTCCTCCTCTGGCAAACACTTACCGTCTTGGACACCCACAGGGGTCGCTATGAGCCAGTAATGACTCTCTGCACCCTCAAGAGTGCAGCTGGGATGGAGGGTGGGGTCCTCCTCAGCCTCCCTAACCTGGGAACCACCGCTGGGCTGGGCACTCAGGACTGCTCAGAGAAGGACACCGTCCCTACACTGCCCCCCCTCCTCCCTGGACCAGGGCAAAGCCAGAACCAGAGGCACACCATCCTCCCCCGTGCCAGGAGGACTAAGGCCCCCGCGAGGGCTCCCCCCATCTGAGTGAAGAGAGAAGACTGGTACCCAGCCACTTCAGCTCCCCAGCCTCACTTCCTCAGTGCCCCCCCAACCATGGGGTTTTTCCCCAGCTCCTCCTCAGAATCTAACCCCTTATGTTTCTGTCTCTCCCCTTGCCCCCATAACCACCATACAGAAGAAGTCATGACGTTGTCATTTTAATTGTAAAAGGTTTATCAAGAAAAAAAAAAAAAAAGATTCAAGCAGCGGCAGCCAGGAGCCGGCCACTACCTCCTGGGGGGCATCTCCCCACCCCCATCTTGCTGCTGACCACAGCTTGGCCTCGGGTGTGGGGGAGGCAGCAACCCCTGAGGATGTAAACATGGGTTGGAGGAGACCGGGCAGCCTGACCCTGGGAGCAGAGGGGCATGTCGCAGCCCAGTGGGTTGTGAGCAGGTGGGCCCAGGAGCCTTGGGGAGAGAGAGTGGGCAGGCAGAATTTGTTCCCAGCGCCCCCCTTAGGTGCCTCACTGTGGAACAAGCAGCCAGAGAAGATGGGGCAGGGGCTGAGGCCCCTGAGTGCCCCCAGAGGCCAGAGCCTGCTCTGAAGTGTGAGGCGGTATTCCAGGGCTGCACAGACCCCCGTTGGGAGGGGTCACGGGGATGGCTCAGGGGAACAAGGGAGGGAGGCACGGTGAGCAAAGAAGATACCTCCCTCTACCACGCCTGGCTGGAACCCCCACTGGGAAGGCTCCAGACTTGTTTGGGAAAAGCAAGGTTAGGGGGCAAAGTGGGCGATGCTTTGCAGCCTCCATCCCTTGCCCAAGCTGTTCCTCTTCCTCAAATGTCCTTCTGCCCATTTCCTTGTGGTTCTTCAAGACCCTGCTCCAATGTTATGGACTCTGGGGGCGGGGGTGGGGTGGGGGTGTCTGTGTCTACCCTGACAGCTACACGCTGTAGCCTGCCTCTCCTTGAAGCTTCCAGGAGCCCCTGCCTTCTCCTCGGTCACCTGCCTCATTCCTGTGTCTGGCCCTCCTAAAAGGATGTCCATGGGATGACTAATGGGCAGGGCTGGGTATAGGCACCATGCGCTTGACCAGAGGCCCTGGCCCGAAGTGACTGGCCAGCAGCCAGGTCTTGACCTGGAGGCTTCCTGGTCCCCTTCCCACCCCTGCTGTGCCTCCACCTCTGAGACCCAAGGGGGTCCCCCGGAAGTGCCCACAACTCCTCCAAAGCCCATTCTGGGGCGGAGGGGCAGGCTGCCAACCTGGCCCACCCCAGCTGCCCAGACACTGCTGGTGCAGAGAGGTCAGGCGAGCAGGCTGCTGTGGCGACCAGGCCCAGGGCGGGTGGGGCCAGCGGCCCGGGGTCAGAGGTGGTCATACATGCGCAGCGTCCTCTCCAGCTGCTGGCCCACCCTCTGGTAGAAGAGGATCTGCTGACGCAGGTAGTTTTGCATCATGTGCTTGAAGTCCAGCTCACGGCGCTGGTGGAAGTGGTTCATCTCCGCCTGCAGGGCGAAGCCCACCACGCGGCAGCGCCTACGGACGCCGTCGGTCTCCTCCTGCGCCAGGCGGCCCTCGTCGCTCATGCGCTGGCTCTCCTTCACCTTGGCGAAGGCGCCTGGCACGGGCAGAGCGGAGGACAAGGTGGGTTAGGAGCTCGGGTCTCTTCTGTTCGCCCCTACACCCACCCTGAACCCCCCAGAGGCAGACAGTACTCTCTGCTCAACTCGGATCCTGGTGGCCCAAACCACGGGGTCCTCTCTACGGTGCATCCCCCAAGCCCTCCCCACCAGCACCCTCCTGTCTCCAAACCGGCACCACCCTTAGCAGCCCCCATGTGGCCAGTTCTGCTAGCCGTCCTTATTTCCAGGCCCAGGCTGTCCCTGTGGTCCCCAGGCCTCATCATCTTTCCTGATCAGCTCAGACATCACACCTCCCCCAAGAAGCCTGCTCAGCACTCCCTCGGGCTCCCTGGACCACAGGGTTCCGCGACTGCCTGCCTCCTAGGCTGTGAGCTCCACGAGGACAGGGCCTGAGCCCCATCCTGTCTGTGCGGCCTGATCCATATGGGCTGAGCAGGTCCCAGCCTGCTCCTCCA